GCGGATAGCAAGCTTCTTTGATTTTACGGGTTAAAATGGTTTTTCCCGCATCAAACCTTTCATCTTATCCCAGGATATCGTTTGTTGATGAATTACGGTATTTTCTTCTATAGCTGAGTTTTCCTGACATTCCGCTATAATAATCTTGAGATCCGTTGTTTGTTTCCTTTTTCCTTCTTGTTTTTGGCCTCTTTGTCTTGCATTTGCGTTATTCCATCTGATGAAGTTTCTTCTGTGATCTCTCTTTCTTCGATGGTATTTTCCGTTTCACCGGTTTACATGAACACTGAACCACATGAGCTTAGAAACTTGTACACGGAGCTTTGTTTCTGTTCTTCCGGTATTCTGGTTTTCAGGTGGCTGAAACAGCTGTGAGATGTTGTGCCAGGTTTAAGCATAATTTTCACACCTCCTTTTGGGTATTCCACCATAAGAAAACGCATGCTGATTGATATCTGCATTACCTTTCTTAAAAGAATGTTTAAAATTTGAAAGTTTACCGCTTGAATGGTGTCACAAACGAACTCAGTTTTTCGGCATATGCAAAAATGCATGATTATCACAGTTAATGATTGCACTTAGCGAATAAATAGCATACGAATTTAATGGCTGTGCCTTCTTCCATGTCGAGCGTCGCGGAAAATTCCAGTTTCTGGCACCTTCCTAAAAGTTTTTGGGGAACGTTTCGTAGCGGTCCCACTGTGTATTCGGCGATCTTCACGGGAATGATGCAACCTGCCAATCATCTGTTGATGAACAGAGGATGCAGTATCACAACAGATAAACACAATAAACTAACCGAAATATAAAGAAGGAATAATGAATTAGAACAAAGTAAGTGTGCAGAAATGTTCAAGAAAGTAGTTTGAGCTGAACTGTCAGATCAGGGCGTTCAGGGTGCAAAGTGTACAAGAGCGATTACCAGTAAGGGCAGAGGAAACAAAGACCGAACATTGTACCTATCTACTATCAGTTGATGAATGGATTAGTACCATCCTGAAAGTGTGACGAATAGTATTTTCAATAGAATTCTCCAAAATAGGTGGAAGGTCTGCGTCACGGAAGACGATTTCCGCAAAAAGCTGAGCCACTAGAAACTCTGCAAGTAAACGGTTACACAGTGCACAATAAATAAACTTCTGGCAAGGTAAACGAGAAAACCCACCCATCGCTGTTCAGGTGACGGTAAGATTTATATTGCTTTGCAGTACGTTCGTAATTTGAGCAAAATGTTGCGACCTATTATATCGTAAGCCGATCTGAAAATTGTTTGAACCTGATATGACGCTACGCAGCTGTCTCAGCCACCGGAATGCCAGAGTACCAAAAGAATAGAAATACGGCTGGGTGTGCAACCTTCCCAGCTCATGTGGTTCAGTGTAAATCGGTGAAACGGGCAACGCCATGGAAGAAATAAAGACAGACCATACAACAAACCTCATCAGATGGAGCAGCGCAAATTCTAGAGAAAGTGATCAAAAACAAGACGGCAGAGGAAGGAAACAAGGAATGGATCCGAAGATTACTAAAGCGGAATGTCAGAGAAACTCAGCTATAGTAGAATATACTGTAATTCATCAGCATACAGTATTTTGGTATAAGATGAAAGGTTTCATGCAGGAGAAACAATCTTTAAGCCGTAAAATTAAAGAAATTGACTGATCCGCACAATCAGCTGTATCAGTCGTGACCTTGTTTCAGATGTCAGCGACACTGACCGAAAAAATCAAACGGTCACTCAGGACGAACAACCAGCGTGGCCCTATAAATCATAAGCTTCAACCTGATCCGCATGAAACTGATGCTGTGCAAATATCATAGTTACTCTGAAGGCGGGCTGAGCTTGGTTCAAAACGTCAGTGCCGATATTTTTAATAAAAACTTTTATTCGTTGTTATCCGACCTTTGACTTATCCACATGCAATATCAACTCTCGCAGAAAGAACTCCTGCGCTAGTTTCAGAACTATTATCAATTAGCAATTATTTATTTGAATTACAGATCAGTCACAATGGTTATCTTAAATAACTTTTGCTGGCCAGGTCCTTGATCAAGAATGTACCTGCGATAATTCTAATTGAGAGATGCGTGTGGAGGTGTTATTGCAATTTAAAGGGCAGAACTTTGTTTTAATGGTTGGAAGTAAATGAAGGCGCAGTTGCAGAATTTTTCTGCATGCTAAATCGAGCTTCAACAATCTGTTCCCCTCTGTGAGTAACATGGCTTTCAAGTGATTTCAAAATGATGTGCCAGAAGTCATATTTTAGTGCAATAACCGTAGACTATAACTGTATCAACATACTATGTCTCTGAGTTTCCTGTGGAATGATCACCATTAACAGGTTTCCTATCTTATGCAGTTTTGCATGTTCTTTAGGATGTATAGTTACGAAAATTAATTAAAAGTGAACGGTGTGAAAGTCACAGTAGTTAGCGAGGCAGTAGAACTGCAATGAATTATTTGCCCGCATATATTGTTCCATTGTAAGTCTGAAATGCTACGCATAATCATATTGACTGCCTGGGTCGGGGTGTCATTGACATACATCTGGCAGCAGTCACAATTCATCGTGAAAACCTAACTGCATTTACTTTAAGCGATAGTCGTAGCCATCCTGCTTCATTGGTATGAACCCTGCACACTGCTGAAAAAAATCTCATAAGGCGTCAGTCGTTCTCTGAAATTTCAACGACAGTTACTGAACGCTAATGGGATAGCAATATGAACGCTGAGTGATCAGAGTAGCAGGCCTACCTCAATTGGAAGTTTTCTAGATGAGGTATACCATCTCTTAAAAGAGATACCGGCTCATAATGCGTTAAAGCCGTGCACTAGATAGCGCGAGGTATTATGTACTCATCCTCATGAAATGACCCATCTATCGTCCAATGAACATCTGGCTGCTGCAACTGCTCACGCAGTAGCAGTTTCCGTCGTTCGAGGAATCGTTCTCTTTCTTCATACCGTTACTGATCCCTCTCTCTGTTAATTGATTCGTCTATATTATATCTGTGTGGATGTAAAACCGATAAAGATTTCGGAACTTGACGGAAGTTACAGAAAGAATTATCGAGTCTCCTAAAGTACCGTTATTTTCACAATGTTAATGCTTTTTTTCATTTTTTGATCGAGTCGTTTAAAATGGATACAGTTTTTCCTCTGGTAACCATTTCATTTCTTTCCAATATTGCACTGTTGTTCCGGTTCATTAGCATGTTTATATGTGGCTTAAATGCGGTTGTTGAATTAATGACTTGAAACATTGGCCATATATGTGGCGATGATCATTGGAATTTCCTGTAGTATATGTTAATTGA